ATAGCAGTCTCTATTAAGTTGGTGGTCACTTAAGTTTGGACCCATTCTTTACTCCTCTCCCCTCTACCCAACACTTTAGGTATATGGTGTCATACTTTTACATCCTTTTATTTTGTGAGTCCCTGGATTAGTTTTAAAGATATAGTTATTTTTACTGCTTTTGTGCTTCCTACTTTTCTTACTCCAACTTATGGTCTTTCCTTTCCACCAAGGTGTCACCTTTAACGTTTCTTGTAGGGCAGGTTTAGTGGTAATGATTTCCTTGTTTTGTTTGTTTGGGACGCTCTTTATCTCTTCTTTTATTCTGAGTGGTAGCCTTGCTGGATAGAGTATTCTTGGTTGTAGATTTTTTCCTTTCAGCACTTTGAATATATCATGCCACTTTCTTCTGGCCTGCAAAGTTTCTGCTGCAAAATCAGCTGATAGTTTTATGGGGTTTCCTTTGTGTGTAACTGTTTTTTTTTCTCTTGCTGCTTTAAAATTTTTTCTCTTTTTCACTACTTTTTGCCATTTAATTACTATGTGTCTTAGTGCGGACCTCCTTGGGTTGATTTTATTGGGGGCTTTTCGTGCCTCCTGGACATGGGTTTCTCTTTCCTTCCCCAGATTAGGGAGGTTTTTAGCTATGATTTCTTCAAATACATTTTCTGTCCCCCCTTTCCTCTCTTCTCCATCTCGGATCCCTACAATGTGAATGTTATTACACTTAGTGGTGTCACTGAGTTCCCTTAATCTATTTTAATTTATTATTATTATTTTTCTCTCTCCTGTTCAGCTTGATTGCTTTCCATTACTCTGTCCTCCAGGTCACTGCTCTATTCTTCCACTTCCTCTAATATATTATTAATTCCATCTAGTGTATTTTTAATTTCAGTTATTGAGTTCTTTATCTCTGATTGATTCTTTTTTATGTTTTCTATCTCTTTGTTGAGGGACTCACTGGGGTCCTCCACTCTTTTCTCAAGTCCAGAGTATCTTTATGACCATTCCTTTATTATTATTTTTTAAAGATTTATTGATTTATTTTGAGAGAGACAGAGCACGTGCATGGGGCAGGGGGGAGAGGGGTGAGGCAGAAGGAAAGAAATCTCAAGTGGACTCCCACTGAGCACAGAGACTGACATGGGGCTCAATCCCATGACCCTGAGATCATGACTGGAGCTGAAATCAAAAGTTGGTACTCAACCAACTGAGTCACCCAGGTGCTCCATTATGATCATTACTTTAAATTCTCTATCAGACATATTATCTCCATTTTGTTTAGCTCTCTTGCTTTGCTGTTGTCCTGTTCTTTCACTTGGGACATATTCCTCTGTCTCCTCATTTTGTCTAATTCTCTGTGTCTGTTTCTATGTGTCAGGAAAGTCAGCTACATCTTCTTCTATTCCAAGTAGGAGACTTATGAAGAAGAGGTTTTGTAGTGCCCTGCAGTATAATGTTCCCTGTTCACCAGAACCTGGCACTTCCAGGGTGTCTCCTATGTGTGTTGTATGCACCCTACTATTGTGGCTGAGTCATGTTTGCCTCCAGTCCAATCATCTACAATGGCTCTCTTTGCCTGTTGTGGGCAGGATTTGGTACTATGTTGTTACTAGGTCTGTCTGGGGTTGCCATGGGCTTGCGTTAAGTCAGACCATGTATTTGCAAGAACCGTAGTAGCATTGAACTGCAGGGTGCTCTTTTTAGGTGTTGTCCCCTGAAAACTTTCATTGGTGGGTGGGACTTGCAGTCAGACCAGATGTCTGCTGTTGGATTGGTGTGTGTGGTTATCTTCCCCTCTCTCCAGGGCAAGAGTCACTTTGGATTGGTGCTGGCTCTTGTTGAGGCTGCTTGCACCCTGCCAGGCTTGTGGCACTGCTTTGGATGATCTCCCGCCAAAGGTGTGCTGGAGGAGGTGTGTCTTCAGGAGAACGTGGTGCAGGATGCACAGCCCCAGCAAGGTCTGTGCTGGTCCACTGCAGGAGGATGACCTGCAGCTGCCTGGGAAAACTCCTGCTGAGGCCAGCTGGGATGGAGGGGGTACATCCATAGGAGAATGTGGGGGTGAGATGCACTGTTAGCAAACTAGGTGGGGAGTGTTCTCAAGGGGCTGGCTCCTGCAGGTGTCCGTGTATCTAGGCTGGGAGGGTTGGGGTGGGAAATGCACCCGCCGACTCTTTTGTTTCTGGAGAAGTCTCCCAAAGATCCCTGCCCCTCCAGCACACACTCTGAGATTAGTAAATAAATCTCCTTCTCATAGACCCTAGGTGTTTTTTAAACTGCTACTTCTATGCTGTATCTCAAGGGCTGTTTGTTATGCTGTCTTTTTAAGAGCAGGGGCTCAATTTCCTATCACCCTCTGGCTCTCTCAGAGCTGAGCCACTGCTTTTTTAAAGTTCCAGGTGTTAAGCTCCACTGATTGTAAGAACTCACAAAGTTAAGCCTTTCTGGTTTTCAGAGCCAAATGATATGGGCATTTGTCTCTGCAGAGGGGATCCCCTGTGCCTGGGGTGGGGTCTGCTCCTCTCTCCTCCTTGCACCTGTGGCATCCCACCCTCCCACAGACAGTATTACAGGTCAGTTTGGCCCCTGACTGGGTCTCCATCCTTCCTACCCTCCTCAGTGTGGCTTCTTCTCTACATTTAGCTGTGGTGAGTCTGCTCTACCAGTCTTTGGGTCATTTTCTGGTTTATTTACTCTGATGTGGGTGATATCTAGGTGTATCCATGGGACGAGGTGAGCCCAGGATCGTCCTACTCTTCCATCTTCCCCAGAAGTCTCTCAACTCTCTTTCTCTGCTTGTTAATGTTCAGGGTGTCCTTGTATATATTAAACATTGACTTCTAGTTAGTTTTAGACAGAGTAAATGCCCTATCTTAATTCATCATCTATCTTCAATGAGATTCGGTGTCCTTCACTGACTAGTCATAGCTTTGACGTAATTAAGCCCAACACATCTCTCCGCTTTAAGCTTGTGGGCTTTGAGTCTTATTTTAAAACATATGCTTCATCTCAAGTCAAAGTCATAGTCCTACATGTTTTTAATGAGCTTTATCATTTTAACTTTTCACATTGACAGTTGTAATTCCTCTGGAGTGTTGTTAGGTAAGATCCAACTTCATCTTTCTTCATCGGTTTCCCCCCATTACAACAGAGATTCCCTTTCCCAGAGCTTGCTGGAGCATGTGCTACAACTCCTCACGTGCGGGCATCAGGTTAGCTCTCCAGTGCATGACTGGTCTATTTTCCTATTTTTATGTCAGTGCCACAGTTTCTGTAATTACAGCTTTGAAATATATCTAACTCTCTGGTAGGTCATATCTGCCCCCAGCCTGACTCTCCCATTTGCTCTTCTTTCTCAGACCTGTCATAGAATTCATGGACTCTTATCCTTCAGTATCAATTTTAGAATCAGACTGTCAAGGTCCTGAAAAAAAAAAAATCCACCTGGCATTTTATTTGGAATTGCTTGAACTTTAGAGATTAATGTAAGGAGGACCGACCCTGTAATCTTTTAAAATAGTTTTTACTCTCTATTGAAGAGACAAAAGCATATTTATAAAACATATATGGAGAATAAAGAATAACATAACCAACACCCAGACACTCCCTCCCAAGCCTATGAAATAGTGCTGCATTACCAGAAACTCTGAACCTTCCACGTGTGATAATCCCTGAGTTTCAAGATGAGCAGGCTCTAATTATGCTCTTGTTTTTTTCTGCTGGCTGGCATTTGCTCATGGTATCTCAACTTCCTGTGTGTGGGGTGATGTTTTAAAGAGTGAGGAAATGTTCTTGGGTGTTCTCTGTGAGAATCCTCTGGGTACATGACTAACCCAGGACCACTTTGAATGGCATCCTTGGCTTGGGTTTTTGGAACCACCCACATCGTATGAATTCGAATCGCAAGTTCACATGAGGGTAGGTGCTCCCAGTTTCTCCTCCCTCAGAGGGCGTGGTCTTTTTTGGAGGTGTAACTTTTTGCAGGAGGTTTTGTCTTAGGCTCTCCTGCTTGTGCAGGCCTGGGTTTTGCCTTTTATCTCCCGCGCCGATGAAGGACACTGTGAAAACGGAAGCTCAGTTTCGCCAGATTTGACAAATAGCCTTGGGACGAAAGCCATGTGGGCTTTGCTGACCTCCCTGGGTTTTGGACTCTGAGGAGTCTTTATTTTCTTGCCGGCTCATCTGTGCATTTAAAATGAGAGGTTTTTAACCTCACACATATTTAGTTATCTACAGCAAGGTCAGGCAGTGTATCTGGTCCTCCATAGTGCAGAAAGCCAAGGGCTGAGCATTGGCATTTTTATGTTGTTTTCAGTTGCCTCACTTAAGAACCAAAATATCTCTTTACCTTGATGTAAGTCGTCATTTAATTCTTAGGTATAGTTTTATTATTTTCTTCCTTAAGTGTCTCATGCACTCTTCATTAGATTATGTTCTTTAAATCTTGGTTTGAATTACATTTACTATATATAGGTATGTATATAAATATAGAGAGAGAGCTATTTTTCTGATTTATAAAACTTTTCAGCAATTACAGAAGAGTACAGAGGAAGCTTAAAAAAATCATAAACCCACCTTCAGGAGACGTAACAGCTACGACTTTTTGATGCATGCTGTTATAAACATTATTCTTATACATGCACCTGATTTGCACAAAAAGAGGGGGCTGGTTTGCATTGCAAATAGTCACTCTGCAAGCAGTAGTGTAGGAAAGAAGGTGGTCAAGGGTGGCACATTGGAGGCCCACCAGGATTTAAGGGAGGACAGAGGTGGGGACCGGGGGGTTCTGGTCAGAGAGTTAGCAGGAGAATGAAGAGAGAGGCCAGTGTGATCCTGAGCTGGGGCCCAAGGGCAAAGCTTCCAAGTCCCAGAGCAGGTTCCTAGCCATGCCTCATTTTCAGGGGCAGCATAAGCCTAAGGCAGCTCTTGCTAAGGATCTGGCTCAAGAAGGTGTGAATTTCTGCAAAGCCTGCAGTGAGGCCCTGCCTCCCTCATGCCTCCCCTCCTCCCCTCCACAGGATAACTCTGGCAGCTCCCTCGTCTGCCAGGTGAACAACTCCTGGATTCAGATGGGGGTGGTGAGCTGGAGCCTGAGCTGCAACCAGCACCGCTTCCCAGGCATCTACACCAGCACCTCCTACTTCACCCACTGGATTAAGAGGCAGATCACGGACATGAGGTTCATCAGTAGGGCTGGCCCTGCCTTCCTGAGCCCAGTCACCCTCACTGGCTACATTCTGCTGGTGTCCTTGGGTTCCCTGTGGCTCCTGTGAGCGGTGTTTCTGGGGCAGGCACTCCCAGAGGCCGCTGCTTCCTCCCTGTCTGCCCTCAGGAGCTGTGCAGACCCAGGGAGCGCATGACATCAGGACAGAGCACCCTTGGGGGAGGGTCCCAGAGCCACTGGTTTTTTAAGTTGTTCAATGAAGATGCTCTTGAGTTTTGCGCCACAGGAGTCATCTTTCTTCTTGACCGTGGCCAGAACCCTTCAGAGCCTCCCCAGCCCCAGGAGGCCTGTGTGTCCTCTCAAGGGGAGCCTTCCCTGAGGTCCTTCCCTGTACCACTGCTTGCCACGTTTCCCGCTCTGGGCTGCAGTTTCCTCTTCTGCCAAATACCAGGTGGGACTCTGTGACCTCTAGTCCCTGCTTAATCATCTCAGCACCCCAGCAACCCCGGTCCCCATGGCCCTCCCCTGGGTCTCTGACCAGCAGTCCCCTCAGGCCTTCCTAAGAGAACCTGTCCTCTTCCCAAGAAACTCAATGACCGGACTTACATTTATGGACATCGTTCCAGAACCCGTGAACCTCTCCCAACCCTTCAGATCCCCCTAAGGGTCTACAGAACCTGACCAGTTCTTCTTCCTTCCCTGGCAGATGTGGATGATGATGGGGGGAGAAAAAGGGGCCAAGACAGAGTGCTTGCTGGCATGAATCGTGGGAGGTGACGACCCCCTGAGCTTCCGAGCTGCCTCAGCGACCTCCATCAGACTCAGGAAGGCAAAGCCAGGCTAGCCCAGGGGAGCCAGAGCCCTGCCTTCTGAGTGGAGGTAGCCTGGGGGCGGCTCAGACCTGGGGGTCCTCCGGTTCAGAGCCCTTGTCCTTTGGGTGCCACAAAGGTAGTGGGTATGATTTGCTGTCTTTGAAGAGATTGGAGTGCTGAATGGCCAGCCTGAGTGTCTCCCAAGACAGCAGGTCCCGGCAAAAGTTAGAGTGTCCTGACTTGATTTCACGTTCACCTAGAATTTCCCAACAGCTTTGAACCAAAGCTGCTCATAGGATCTCCCACACTCCTTATTAAATGTGTTATCTGTCAACTGAGCCATCAAAATGTTCCCCCAATTCCAACATACCTTAAAGTGGACTTCTGCTCCCAGAAGGGTCGGCTGGCTACTACCATCACTCTTCATCTGTGACTAGGAACCTCACCAACACAGTTTTCCCAAGCAGATAGACCTGTCAGAGAAGAGCATTTGCTGAATGGAGGTGGGGCGGGGGAGGGGCTTACAATTATGCAATCTTCTTGGGTCAATTTCAGTGCCCTGGGGCAAAGCCCCACTGTAGTCACCAGGCTGGGGGTGGGGTGGGGGGAGGTGGGCCACTTGGGAATCCTGGAGGCCAGCCCCAGGGGTTGGGTCCCATCTCACCACGGGAAGGATGAAAGCACGAACCCAGCCTGAAGGCAGGGGGCTGCGGAGCGAGGCGGTACAGGAACTGGCTGCGCTAGCCTGAGGGTCCCCAGGAAGTGCCTGGCCACGCGCAGTGAGCGAGACCGAGGGGCCAAGGAGGCAGAGGCTTGGTGGTGCGGGCAGAAGGGAGGCCAAGTCTGTGGGGGCGCCGGTGGGCGGCCACGGGGAGCGCCACCGCGGGTGGCCACTGGGGGGCGCCCGCATTCCCCACACTGCGGACGCCGGCGCGGGCAGCCGATGGGGGGCGCCGTCGCCAGAGGAGCACCCCGGCGCCGTCGCTGCTGCTCTGGAATGGAGCCCCGGTACAGGACGCCAGCCCTCAGGCAGGGCCCCCCGGGCCCCGGGGCGGCTGCCCTTCCGCTGCTGCTGCTGCTGCTGCTGGTGTCGCCGAGGCCCGCGGGTGAGCCCCGCCGCGCCCCCCACCCCCGTGCCCTCGCCGGGCCTGGTCTGACCCCCTCGCCGGGCCTCGTGTGACCTTCTCTGCGTCCTTCCGCAGGCTGCCTGGCGAGCCAAGCGCCAGGGACACCGTCTGCGCCTGCTTCCGTCGACCCTGGCGTGCCCTGTGCCCCCAGTGTCACCTGTCCCTCAGACGAGCCTCGCCTCCCCCGCCAGGCCCCCACGGACCCGTCGCAGCGCACGACCCTCCAGACCCAGACCGTGTCTGTTTCTAACGGCGACATCAGCTTTCTCAGTGAGTACGACGGACTCCCTGGGGGAGGAGGGTGCGGGAGCAAGCCCTGGGGACGGAGGCGGTCGCAGGACGAAGGGGCAGGGAGGAGTGAGAAGAGAGGTTCCTTTTACAAGGGTTTACCGAGCATCTGCTGTGGGCCGGGCCTCCCGTCCCCGTGAGGTGGGAAGGAACGAGAGTCGGAGGAGCCTGCGGTGGGCTGCATGTTCCCGCCGCCCTGAACTGACCCAGGCTCCCAGCCAACGACTTAGGGGATCTGCAGCACAGCTTTCAGGGAGCCTCCCCGTGGGCGTCTCCGGGCACCCCCATGCGACCTTCTCATGTTGAACGAAGACCTCCAGAATTACTTCTTATCCTGGAACTCAGTGCACACAACTAAGTGGCCCCCGAAAGCCTCTCACACACGACCAAGTGCGTGCAGACACCCCCTCTCCCATGTCAGACTTGACACAGGCTGGTGCTGGCCCATGCACGCTGATCGCCCAATCCCCTACCCACCCCCTGGAAAACACTGGGGGCTGGGCTGCTGTGAGGTTGGATACGTGCATCTTCAGTTTGAGAACTTTTTCAACGTGGCTGCACCCACAGACACTCCCACCAGCCGGGAGTGAGCAGTCTGGGCCGGGAACCCTCACCAATACTTGGGGTCGGGGCCCCTGAATTTTGCCTGGCAGGTGGTGTGGAGCGGAGCCTGGCTCTGCTGCAAGTCTCCCCCGAGGACCCCTGGGGCTCAGCAGCTTTGGTGTTGGCCCGCTGCAGGGGTGTCGTCCTCGGGATGTATCTGTTCACGCCCATGGCCCGTTTTTCTCTTGGGTAGTCTCACTGAATCACAGGACGGTTCCCAGAGGAGGGAGAGGGGTCTGCCTTGGCCGAAGTACAGGGGGGCCAGATGGAAACACGGATGAGTTTTTGAAGGATCTGGTCAGAGCTCGGGGGGCCACTGTTGTACCAGGCTGGTGGCTGGGAATGCTCTGGGGCCCCGGGGCTGTGGGAGCAGGGAGAAGGATACCTGGGGAGCGCTGAGGCCCTTTGGAGGCTGCAGACCTCAGTCTTCATGTGGAAAAAGAGAGATCCTAGTGGGAAAAGAGAATCGCTGCATGAGTGCGGGCCACAGCTGAAGAGGCAGGAGGTGGGGCTGAGGGAAGGGGAGAGAAGGCGCCTTGGGATGGGGCTGCAAGGTCCCGTCCTGCATCAAGCTCTCACCTTCCTCCTCAGCCTGCGGCTCCTCGCACGAGCAGGACCCCACGCTCAGGGACCCAGACGCCATGGCTCGGCGGTGGCCATGGATGGTCAGCGTGCGGGCCAACGGCACACATGTCTGCGCAGGCACCCTCATTGCCTCCCAGTGGGTGCTGACGGCGGCCCACTGCCTGATCCAGTGAGTCGGGGCCTAGGTGGGCGGGTGGAAAGGTGTCCGGAGCCACGGGGCCCGGTCATCCTGCCCGCTGGTCCTTCAGCAGCAGCCGTGCCCTCTGCAGGGCGCTGTGGTCCCAGCCCCACCCTGGCTTCAGCTCTCCACAGGTGGAAGCTGAGTTCTGCTGATTCCTCCCCGGAGGGAGGGCTGGGCGCTTTCTCCCCTCCCCTGGCTCCCCAGTTCTCAGCAGTCATGCTACAGATAGGCCATGGGGGCTGGGAAGCCACTGGCCAGGCCTCCGTCCTCCTAGCCACAGAAAGGAGGTCCTAATTCTTCCATCCCATACCCTTTGCTTCACTTATTCATTCCTTCCTTCCTTCCACCCACAGCCATTGACCCTCCTTTGAAGCCAGGCCCTGGCCTGGGCCCTAGGGGTAGAGAGGGGATAGACACATCACTTCCCTTGGGTTGCTGGGGAAGATAGATGGGAAGACAGGTGTTCACAGGGGAGTCCGGGCAGCGTGAGGACCAAAGAGAGGGCATGCCCATGTGCCGGGGCCAGGGCAGTGGCCTGAGGGCAGCATCTGTGGAAGAGCCTGCTCCAAGCCTAAGGGCCGACCCGGAGACCTGAGGGGCATGCTGGGAAAGGAGGCTGGAGGGCGAGGCCGTGGCTGATTGATTGTGCCCGGCCCCTGCCACTTCCAGGGCCTGGCACGGGGTGCCAGACAGAGTCCAGAGTCTGGAACCAGAGAAAACTGGGTCCATATCCCAGCTCTGCCACTTCCTAGCTGTGCAGCCTTGAGTTGTTGGCTGGGCTTCTCTGAGCCTCGGGTTTTCTCTCCGTAAAGTACAGGGTTGTTGTAAAGGTGGGACCACACAGGGTGTGTGCAGGGCCCTGTTCACATCTGCTGGGAGAGAGAGGCTTGGGGTGGGGGCCGGGGGGGGCTTGAAGCAGGGGGGTGGCCTGCTGGGATTGACCCAGAGTGCAGTAGTGGGGTGGAGGCGGGGGTGGGGTGCCTGGAGCTGATGACAGACTCCCCTCGTTGTTCCCCTAGGCATAACTTTACCTATTCAGTGCGGGTGGGGAGCCCAAGGATTGACCAGATATCTCCGACTACCTCCGACGTCCCAGCATACCAGGTTATCTTGAACAAACGGTACCGGTCCCATCGGTACTGGTCCTGGGTGGGCCGGGCCCATGACATTGCCCTCCTCAAGCTCGTGTGGCCACTCAAGTACAACAAGTATGTCTGGCCCATCTGCCTGCCCGGCTTGGACTACGAGGTGAAGGACGGCTCCCTGTGCACTGTAACAGGCTGGGGACTCCCCAGGTTTGACGGTGAGTCCGAGCCTCCCCACACCGGGGGGGTGGTGTGGTGTGTGGGGGAGAGGACCCGGGTGCAGGCCGGGGTCTCCGTGGACAGCTGTTTCTGAAACGTCTTCCTGGCGGGCTCTCGTCTCCTTCCCCTTGGGGGTCTTGGCAGTGAGTGCATTGTGGCCATTCAGGCCTGAGGCGTCCCAGATTGCCCATGAGACCTCAGCCCCAGGCCAGGACCTATAAACAGGACTTCCTTGAAGGCAGAGGGGCACAGAGTAATATCTTGCTGTGTGCACGCAATCCCAGGATGTCCAGGATTTGAAGCAGAGCATCTTGCAGTGGGAAAAGCAGGGTTGTGTGACTGTAAAAAGTTCCCCCAAAGACCCCCCATGGTTGGCTAAGGGCAGTCTGCACCCCGAGTTTGGGAGCCCCCTGCCCCCAGTGGACCTCAAGCCCTTTACCATCCCCAGGGATGGAGCAAAGCCCAAAGAGCAGGAGTGTCATCCCAGGCCCATCCAGGGAGCATTTCCTTATGAGTTTTAGGAAGGCCCGGTCCATTCAGGGAGCCCCTCTTTTTCACAAGACAGGTGTTCTTCCCTTTGACTTCACGGAGTCATCTTGCTTAAAAGCAGCCCACAGCGGCTCCAGCCTGGGGGTGGGGGTGGCTGTTTGTCTTTCTTGTCATGGCCCATCTGGGGAGTGGCTGGGGATGGTTGGAAGACTGTCCCCCGGGGGCTCCAGCTAGAGACAGAGTCACACTGGAGAGAGAGAGGAGGGGAGAGGGGGAGGGAGGGGAGGACTTAGTGCCTGGGGCCCACAGAGGGGGGGTCTGGGCTAGCTAGGGTGGAAGAGGCCTTTGGGGAAGGCTTGAGTGAAGGACGGATTTGGACCTGAGAGGGGCTGGGCAGGCCTTCGAGATGGAAGAGCAGAAGCCAAGCTGCTGAGGTAGGAACAGACTCCATGGGCTGGACTCTGTTAGGGGTGAGACCAGGCCCAGCGAGGCCAGGCTGAGGGCAGCCTGCTCCAAAATCTCTAGGAGGGGCTCTTCAGAGGCTGGAGGAGCAGGCCAGGAGCAGCGAGGACAGCCACCGGGCTGGCAGCAGTGAGAGCGCCAAGCCTGAACTGTGGGGGGGACCTGTCCCTGCAGGCGTGTGGCCCCAGTTCCGGACCATTCAGGAGAAGGGTGTCACCATCCTGAGCAGCAAGGAGTGTGACAAGTTGTACCACAAGGTCTCCAAAGTCCCCTCTCTGGTTCGGGTGGTGGACTCCCGGATGGTCTGTGCGGAGGACTTGGACAGGGAGAACTTCTGCTACGTGAGCACCTCCCTCCTTGCTCCCTCACCTCCAGGGCCGCCTGGAGAGGTGCTGGGGCGCAGGGCAGCCGGGCTCAGAGGGGAGGGGAAGACGGAGGGAGAGATGGGAGAGGAAGATCGGAGAGGAGAGAGAAGGGGGGTCGGTGGGAAGAAGGGGGGTGGGGGCCTGGCATGAGCGAGGGGAGGTGAACCCCTCTGAGGGAGGTCTCCTGCATCTGGACCTCGAGGGCACCTCTCAGCTTGGTGGCCCCCTGGGTTGCGGGGGCTGCTGTGGGAGAGAGGTGGTGTGAGCCGGGGCACGTCTCCCTCCGGCCACCCCCGGCCCCCCTGACCCTTTTTGTTCCACACCCCTCCTCACAGGAGATAAGTGGGGAGCCCTTGGCCTGTCCTGTGGACACCACGTGGTACCTGGTGGGACTCGTGAGCTGGGGCCCAGGCTGCCGGAAGAGCGAGGCCCCGCCCATCTACCTGCAGGTCACCTCCTACCAGCACTGGATCTGGGAACGCATCAGTGGGCAGGCCCTGCCAGCCCCATCCCGGGCCCTGCTCCTGGTGCTACCGCTGCCCCTCGGCCTCCTTGCTGCCCTCTGACAGCCTCGTGCTGTCCCCCGGGGGGGCCATCCTCACCCTCTGTGCCCAGATTGCTGCAGGTGTAGCTCTCCCCACCCGGCAGGGCAGGGCAGAGATGAGGTGCTCAATTAAATGCTTCTCTTCTCCAAGCTGCCTCCTTCCTGGGCCTGCTTGAGTGGGAGGTGAGCCAGCCAGATGGGGGTGGGAGGGGGGACTCCAGACTGTTCTCTCCTGAAAGGTGCAGAGCCGCCGGGTCTGCCTCCGTCTATAGGTTTGGGGTGGCTCCCGCAGAAAGTAGAGGGAGTGTATAGGGATGATACTGGGGTCTAGAATGTACTATCCAGGCTGAAGCTGGGCTGCCGGGACGCAGTATGAGGCTGGGGTAAAGGTGCGGCTCTGTCTGGGCGGGGGAGGGGAGCGTGTTTGCTGTGATTCTCTAGTGGGAGTCAGGCTCTCCTGGCCAGTGGCTGGAGCACACCCTGTCACTGCCCTGAAGCCCTGTAGTGCACTTTGACCTTCCAGCCCCGCGCCCTGCCTAGAGCCTGGGGCAGGTGCCCACCGGGCTCAGATGTTCCCCGTCGGCGGCCGTGCCTGTCCCTGAAAGACCAGTAGAGGCCCCAGGTCAGAGGCCAGGGGGCAGGGCAGATGCAGCCCAGGTCTGGACTTGCCCCAGGCTTCTCTGTTGGACCTCAGGACGCCCCTGCCCCTCTGGGCTTCTGTTGCCTGGGCCACACAGGAAGACTTTGGCCTGTATGCGTTGTATGACCTTGGCCGCAACCTTAACCTTCGGCGGGAGAAACCCGCGGGCCGGACCATGAGGGCAGAGTCAGGGTTCTGACTCTGAGCCCTCCGCAGGGCCTCTGCAGTTTCTCTGCGCCCTCACGGCACCTGTGTCTGCCCGGATCCCTCTCCTTGTATCATAGTCATCCAGCTCTGGGGCAGGATCCGCACTGGACCCCTCTTGTGTCCCCAGCACGGGGCTCAGGCCGTGGAAGGCCTACTGCAGGCCACAAAGTGGCGGGGAGGGGTGGGGACAGGGGGCGGCTTCCTCCCACGGTCTCGATGCCCAGCTGGCTGCCACCTCTCCCTTCAGCTCATCCCAGTTCAGGCTGGGGGAACAGTCGGGGAGGGAGCTTCTGCTTGGCCAGCGCCCCTGTCACGGCGGCATCACCCTCCACGTACATGCTCCAGGGACAGGGCATCCTGAGGGGTCGTCTGAGTGGAAGGCACTCAGCTTTATTTACACATCTCGGCAGGCCGTGGGGCAGCTCCCCCAGCTCAGGAACCCTGGCGTTTCTAGGCCCAGATGTGCGCGCCTCGGCGGGGGTTTGCCACCCTCCCGAAATGCCTCTGCCGTCAGTCTCCGGGTGGTGTTTGGGCCTTCCCCCTCCGGTCAGCAGTGACTCTCTGAGGTGCGAGACGCTTGAGGTGGTAGAAGAGGAGGCTGTGTGCAGCTCTCCTCATCGGGTGGAAGTCTGTTTGCTGCCTCAGCCCCCGAGTGCCCTCTGCTGTGACCCCCTGGGGCCCTGACGGACCCCCACCACCTGGAAAGGACTTCCGGCACAGCCCAACGCTCCCCTTGGCTTCTCCAGGGCTCCCTGGATCCCCGAGATGGGGCCCCGCGACCCCCTTTCTTCCCTTCTCCCTTCAGCCTGCTGGCCTCAGCCTTCTGCACCCCTGACTCACCCCTGCAGCCCCAGCCCCGAACCTCCAGGCCTCGTGCTCGGCCTCCCAGCAGCCTCAGCTCCAGGGCAGCGGCCTGGCCCATGGTATCCGCTGGGCTGGAGTCCCCCTGCCTCCAGGCGGGCGCTCTATTCACCTCCCGGGCCAGGACCCCTGCTGGGCCTGGAGGAGCTCCCTGGCCGCCAGGGCTGCTCCCTGGAGAAGTCTGAGAGCCTCCCCTAGTGACCCTCTTCTTCCTCGTGGCCAGCCTGGCTGTGGCCTCACACCCCAGCCCCTTCAGTTTGGCCATTTCCTTCCAAGAGGCAGGCCACGTCCCGTCATGCCCTGTACAGCCACTGCTGTTCCTGGCAGGAGGGACCGAGGCGTGTCTGGGTGGGTGCGGGGCCACTCCACTCCAGATCTGCAGAGGGACAGTGGCCCAAGACCGCCTTTGCTGGATAGCCATGTGCGTGAGGTGAAAGGAGTAGAGTTCAGGCTGGGAGGCGGGACGCCAGGTGCAGTCTGGTCCCTGCCCCCGATGGGCTGTCACATTGGGGCTTCAGCAGCCCCCCTCGGAGCCAAGAAGAGGGTGTTCTGCAACCTCTATGGTCCATGGATGAGCTGGGAGTCTAAGATGCCTGGACCCCAGCCAGGACTTGAGCCCCAGGGTTAGCCAGCACCAGCTGCCACCTCCAGGAAGCCCTCCTCATTTCTCCCCTTTCTTCTTCTTGGCCTCATTCTTCTCATCCTCCTCTACCTTGATGGCCACTGTGTCCACACTGTCCTTCTTCTTCTTCTTCTTCTTATCCTCTGTGGGGTGGAGGAGAGGCGGGTGGCAGGAGTGAGGCCAGGGGTCCTAGGGCCCACACCAGAGCCCCCCACACCCAGCCCTTTGCTTCTTCCTTTCCAAACCTCTCCCACCTGCAGAAGAGCTCCTTGTGTTACGTGCCTCACTCGGGCCTGTTTCTGCGCTCTGGCCTCCAGGGACCAGAACCTAAACACCAGGGGAGGGGAGGAGCAGGGCCACTCTCGGTGGCAGGACTGAGGAAGTGGCTGGCTCAGCTGGGACAGGTGGTGGTGGTGAGCCCCCCACCCTGGCCTGCTCACCTCCAGGGATCTCCGTGAGCTCGTTGAGTGGGGGGACCGTCTCCAGTTTGTCCGTGTACATCTTGGCTGCCTTCCGCTGCAGGTAGCGGGCTTCAATCTCCTTCCGGGTCCGGGGCACGCGGCAGTTGAAGACGCAGCACAGAGTGATGACTGTAGGGGGGACAGAGCAGGCTTGGCCGAGGCTGGAGATCAGACACCCCAGGAATGGTTCCCACATTTCAGACCTGCCCTCACCTGCCTACATGTGTCTCACCCAGGAGTCTCTGGCAGGAGGCTCTGCGTTTGGACGAGACCCCTGTGGGCTCTGGGGTTCTTTCCAAGATCTCTCTCCTGAGCGGGGCCGACTTTGGGCAGGCACACAGGGGCCCGCTCTCAGAGGGGCCTGGCGCTGGGCTTTATGTGCTGCAATCGCTGTTCTTAACAATTTCTGAACAAGGGAGTCTCCTACTTTCATTTTGCAGTGGCCCATAAGTCCTGCCTCTGGTCTCGCTTTCTGACTAGATCGAGGCCCCTGGAGGGCAGGGCAGAGGCCTGCATTGGTGACTCGAGCTACAACCACCCCGGGGCTGTCCTGTGTTCCCACCCAGGCCTCTCGGCTCCTACTGCTTCCTCCCCAGGCTCCTGGGAGGACCTCAGACACCCAAGGACGTGGCCGTGTCCTCCTCAACCTTGCTGAGGACAAGCCTGGGCTTCTCCCGGCCGCGAGGGCCCACCAGAGGGCACAGACCCTGCCCTGGGGCGTTCACCCCAGACAGTTATCCCAGGGGCGGTTTTCTGCTGAAGGCAGCTGTGCCCACGTGAGCTGGGCCAGGGAATGGAGCTGGCCTGTCTAGTGATGGGCAGGACAGGGCAGGGCTGCCAGGACCCGGCTGGACTGAGTTTATTTTTCTAAGACTCCACAGTCTGACCACCTTGGCCCCAGCCTCAGGGGAGGGGACGGGGCTGCTTCCTATTATAAATCGGATGACAAGACATAACTTCCTGGCAGACTCCTGGGGGCAGGATGGCCAAGCAGGACAAACAAGGCCTATTTTAGGGAAGATGGATCAGACCAATGTAGCCGGGGCTGGAGCACCCTTGGGGGTCAACATGTGCAACCCCTTCAGCCAAATCTTGTGGCCCCACTAAGTCTCACCCAGGTTCACAGAATGAAAAAAAAAAAAAAAAAGAATGTATGAATGCATGAGATGGTCTCAAAGCCTTTGCTCCTGAGGACAGAACTGGACTCCCGAATGGATGGATGGGGGAGCTGCCAGCAATCAGGACCTCTGGGGGCTGCACGAGACCCCAGCAGTAGGTCTGACTGTACAGTGCTGTCCAGGGGCAAACAGCAAGCTTTTCTTATCCAAAGAGCTGGGTTCTAGTCTTCTCCAGGCCCCGGTGTGTATGCCTACGGGCCCTGATCCTGCTGGCTTGGGTCACCTCTTCCAGCCACCCTCCGGGCATGTCCTCTCACCGTGCTTACTCAGGCTCGGCACAGAGGCTGGTCCCAGGCCCCAAGGGGCCTGGGCTTCCAAGGGAGCTCAGCTCTTGGCACCTGGAGCAGGGCTCAGACGCCGCCTCTCGCTCCAGGCCTGCCCCACCCAGCCTGGCCGGGTCACTTCTTGTCAAAGAAGGGAAAAAAACAATGTGTGTTGGATGGAGTTCCAGGGCCCAGACAGGGGCTTGGAATGTGAGTCCCCAGGCTGGAGGGACCTCCAGAGGCGCCCCCATCCAAGCCCAGCCCCTCTGCACAAGGTTCTGGGGTGACACGCCCCAGACAGCAACGCCACCGAGGCCCAAGCCAACTGGGAGGTAGGAAAGACGCTTCGTCCCCAGGAGATGGGGCTGTACCATCCCTACTCCCAGGGCCCTGCACGGAAGGTAACGAGTGGTGACCAGCTGCTCAGAGGCCTTTGGGACTCTCCTTTACTCTTTTCTAGAAAATAAGAGCTGTTCTGTGTGCTTTATGTCCAAGTGCCTCTTTGGGTCTGACACTGCAACCTTCTTGTGTGGCCCTAGGCACCTCCACCGTCTGGGACCGAGCAGAGCCCGGAGAGGCCAGTGTGTGTTTAGAGGCCCCTTGGCGTCCTCACTCCTGCTCCCTGGAGTGCCCCAGAGTGGCTCCCTGGACCCGCACCCTACACTGCTCCTGCAGGCAGATGCCTCCTTGAACCCTGCCTCTTGGTGTTGGGGTGCAGGGCGGTGGGGGGGGGGCAGGTGGGTCCACGGTCTCCTCCCTGGACACCTGGGCTGGGGCTACAGCCACAACCAGCTGTCCGTAGGGCCTCCGCTGAGAGGCCTGACTAGTTCTTGCCTTGGTCAAGAATGAAATGCAGCCTCTTGCTCAGATCCTGCTCCCACCCTAGCCATGAAGAAATGGTGATGGTGGGGTGTGGATATTTTCCCCCAAGGAGGGCCTCCCTGGTGTCAGGAGAAGCACATGCCCATCAGATGTCCTTGTCTCCCTTGGAGTCCTTACATGTGGGTGGGTCCTCCTCTGGGGTGCTGCCCTCCAGGGGACCTCATCCTGGGACAGCTCCAGCTAGAACTTAAATGCCATTTTCGCTGCCCTGACCTGGGGTGCACGCAGTGAAAATCCTGTAGGGGTTATCTGAGCCCTTGTGCGGGGTCCATTTCCTCCCACCTCTGCCTACACCGTCCCGTCTGCCTTTTCCAGCTGCCCACCTGGCAAAACTGCACTCATCCTCTCACTGATGTGCGGAAGAGGACCCTTCTCTAAGAAGCTTGTGCGGGCAGAGAGGGTCTTCTTTCCCTTCCTCGCCGCGTCTCCCCGCATCCTTTGGTGTGTGGGAACCTTCATCAGACTCTACACTGTACCCTGGCAGCCTCCCCCATCCATTGGCATTTCTCTGCCCTCCTTTCTCCAACTGCAGACCCCTAATCTGGAAGGGCTGAAGGAGCATGCCAAACCCATTTCTGTTGTGAGTTTGCATCCAGCAACTCCCAGTCCCAGGAGAGGAAGGGGTCTCCTGCTTTTAATTGAGGGGGGTGTGAGTCATTCCAGGGGAACAGGAGTTGACAAGACACGGTTTGCAGCCTGGGAGCCACATCTGCCGGGCGTCTGGGGAGCCTCTAGGCTGAGCTGCGGCCAAGGATGGCCTTGCTGGGGCCTCTGGGTGTGGGCCCTTTAAGCAGGGCAAACTGCAGGAAAAGCATCAGGAGGCCAGCGATAGGGGAAAATGACACGTCCTCATCCTGGTTCAGTGGAGTCCCCTGTAATTATCGTAATTGCCATGTGGCTGTGTCCCAGTTGGGCAGAATACTTCAGGTCACCACCAGCCTGTCAACCCTCCACAGGGACTTTGTGTAGATCAGGAGGTGCCAGAAACCACAGTGGGCCTCCTGCGGGCGACTGGCCTGCTTGCACTGCCCGGAATTGTTGCTCTGAGCCCCTGGGGGTGGTGCTGGCGGGGGTGGGGGGAGGGCAGGGGGTGCTGTGCTCCTGCAGCTGCATTGGCGGGGGGAGGGCAGGGAGCAGCTACTCACTGATGGACAACACGAAGAGCGAGAAGATGCCCACCACGTGCCAGAGGCGCATGTCCCAGAATACCACCGTCTCCTTGGTCAGCGGGGGCGGCTTGGGCTTGGGCGGGGCCGTGCTGGGCTGCAGGTCGGGAGAGAGGGAAGTGAAGCCAGGCAGAGGCCAGAGGCTGGGGCTGGGCCGAGAGAGAGGCCCAGGTTTCAGCAAGGTCTCAGTCCAAGCATTCCAGAATCTCCTAGAATCAAGTGTCTTAGATAGTCACAGCCAACGCCCTAGATCCTGGGAGGTTCCAGGTTTAGAGCAAGAGAAGAAAGCAGAGCCCCAGAACCGTGGAGCCTGGGGATTCTCGGGGACACCAGGGCCTGAAGGGGCAAAGGTGGATGGCTTGTCCCAATCAGGTTCAGGTCCCCTTCGGGCAGCCTGCTAGTCTCCCCTCCTGCTCCAGTCCTGGGCCCCACAGGCTGAGGGGGTCTCAGGACCAAGGCCAGAGACAAGGGGAGGCCGGTACTCTCCTTGGGGGATTTTGCTCCCAAGCATCCTCAGTGTGGGTGGGGTGTGGAGCTGGACTCAGGGCCTGCGGCTCTGCTGCCTGGCCAGGACCCCCACCGGGTGACCTCAACAGTTGCCTATCCTGCCAGAGTCACCTCTTCTGACCAGAGGCTAGGAGTCCTCCCAGGACAGGACGGGATAAATCGTCTGCAATGCAGCAGCGACACCTAGAGGCCAAATGTTGTAAGCATGACTGGAACAAACCTGAGCAGAGCACAGCGGGCCACCTCCCACCTTCCCAGTGGACGCCACCTTGCCATGGGAGTCTAGGGGACATGGCCCTACCCTGGGGGACTGAGGGAACAAGGCCCTGCCCTGGTGGGTCTGGGCGGGACCAGTCCCTAGCCTGAGGGGCTGAGAGGGATAGGACCCTATCCTCACCAAGTTTGACTGAGGGAGGGGGGTGGTGGTGGTTAATGCTCAGAGAGAGAGGACCCTGGGGCATCTGTGGGATTCACTGTCTCCTGATTAACTGAATAAGGACAGACCTGCAGTCTCTTCTGGCTCTCTGGGAAGGAAAGGCAACTCACACCTCAACCATTCATCCAGTCTTTCCCCTGGTCCATGAGCATGGATTGGGCACCTACCACAGGTCAGGTGCTTCCTCACTCAAGAACACCGCCCTTCAGCATGTCCCAGGTAATCTGTGTGCTTGGGATTGGTACATAATTCCCCAGCTCTTTTCTCTTCACCAGGGTAAACTGGGGTGGGCGACTTCTTACCTCTAGGCCTCCATTTCTCCGTCTGTAAATTGAGTGGGGTGGTTCCGGGGCTCTCTGGGAAGCTCTCTCTACCTAATCAGAGTGGTAACATTGACGAGAAGATACCCCTCCTCAGCATCATCCCAGGGGCCTGGATCCACTTGCAGGGTCAGACGCATGTACGTGGGGTCAAGGAACACGTGTGTGGGGTCAGGCACCTCTGTGGGTTCAGAGCGCATGTGTGTGGAGTTGGGGCACATATTTGTGGGTACAGAGCACACGTGTGGTTGGAGTATGCCTGTGTGGTTAGACTTATGTCTGTAGAGTCAGGGCCAGGGTCTGGGCAGTGGCGGGGTTCCCGATCTTAAGGCTCAGTGTTTTTGGTCCAGCTGGGCTGTATGGCTGGAAGACTCTGAGGTCCAGAGGAGGGATCTCAGATTTTGAGCCCAGGCAGCTGAGAGCCCACTTCTGACACCTTCTCGTTCTAGCCTTGTTTCAGGGGGAACTGAGCTTATAATCTCACCTTGATAGGGATCTTGGGTAGAGGGTAACAGGTAAGAGTCGGGCATCTCTGTGGTGGGCACTGCTGGAGGTCTAAACTCTAAAGCTTGGGAGCCCCAGCCTCCGTCAGCTGGAGAATGATGCCTGTAGGGGCTGTCGTGGGTGGTGCTGTGGACTCCAGCACTACCCATCTTTCTAGTGCTTCCCTGGATCCCCTGGGCTCAGCCAGGCCCTTGCTCAGGCTGTAGTCAGATAGCAGGCAGATGGACTCCAAATGCAGTTTCCCTTGATGGGCAGGGAGAAGATGTGTTCCTGGGGGCTGAAGGGAAGAGTCCTTGGCTCAGAACTGACATGACCCCCACCCTCAGCCTTCTCCTGCGCCCAGGCCAGCTCAGTTTCTGCACCCGAGGCCTCAGGGCAGCCAGTAAGGGGCTCATGTACACTTTGTGGGGCTCAAGCCAGCCTGGCTCCCCTTACAGGGACACTGGAGCTGACATCTGACTCCAGCCCAGCCTTTTGATCACACCCCCTGGTCAGCAGCACAGACAGGCTTAGTATCGGGGTACAGCGCTCTGTCTTGTTGTCCCTCGGACCCTCAGGTTCAGGGCTGTGTCCTCTTAGGTCCTCAGGATAAGACTCTGTCCTCCCTCTCCCATCCTGTCCCCTGGCACCTGCCCCCGAGGGCTCTCCTGGGCGCCTTGCTGTCCCTTGCTCTTCTGTCTCTCTGCCCTCTCTGCCCCGGCCTACAAAGGCTCTGAACCCTGCTCCTCCCTGGCCCTGCCTCTTGGGCCTTCTCCCTCTGGTCTCTTGCTCCAGAATTCTGGTTCTGGTCTGCTTCTTTGGCTCCCCTTCACAGCTCAGCAGGAATGGGGGACAGAGGGGACAGGGAGGCTGCAATGGCCCCCACTCTTCTCCTCCCAGCCCTTCCTGTCCCCAGCCAAGCTCCTGGCCAACCACCCCAGCCACCCTCCTTACCTCTTGCTGGGCTATCTCAGCAGCTCCCCCAGCTCTCCCAACTACATGCCCTCTTCCAATTTATCCTCCTCCTTCCACACCAAGACTCATCCACGACTCTTCCCCTGCTCAGATACCTTGGCTGGCTCTCCATTATCACCAGGACCAAGTAAGACCCCTGAGCCCTGGGTCCTGCCCTGCCGGCACCTCCCCTCCAGGGCCAAGTGCCCCACAAGGAGCTGAACTCAACACATGGCTGCTCTATAAAGGGTCTCCTGACCCCACCCTCCAGCTTGGCAAGTCCTCACCTCCTTCTTAAGGCTATGTCTCCCCCATCAGGCAGGGGAGCCTGAAGGATCTCTGGAAGCAGAAGCTATTTCCTCCAGCCGACCCTAAGACCAGGGACTAGATCTCCCCTATCAGACTAGAGTTCACTGAAACCAAGGACTATACCTCCCCCACCTCTCCCTGGCCCCCATTAGACAAAAGGTAAGGGCTGAGCAAAGCTGTATCCCCAGACTGGGAATCCTTATGATCAGGGTGAGTCTCCCCCACCAGACTAATGATCCTGAAATCTGGGGCTGTGCCCTCCCATCAGACCAGGGAACCTAAGGTTGGGGGCTGAGTCTCCCCCACAGCCTGGAAGCGCTGGGGGCAGGGCCGTGTCACCCCAGGAATCCAGGTCTGCTGGGGCACTTGGAAGGGGAAAATCCAGCTCCCAGTCGGAAGGGCGTCCCCTAAGCCTCCGGCCGGCTGGCCACAGCCTCCCTGACCCCTCCGCGCCGCCCCGCCTCACCTCCACCAGCTGCCCGGCGACCCTGGCGAGGCAGAGCCCCAGCGCGGCGCCGCCCAGCGCCCAGAGGGGCCCCGCCATCTCCGCGCCCGCAGCTC